ATAGGGGCTCTGGGGCAAGGGATGCTGTCTTCTTGGTGCTTGGGGGGGGAGGCATGTCCTGGCCCCACTGGTGGACCTCCTGATGGCACTGGTATTTCTGGCCATTGTGTGATACAGAGTGTTGGACTGGATGGGCCTTTGGCCTGATCCAACCTTGGCGTCTCTTATGTTCTTATATGGCTGGCCTGGGAAGGAGCGCTGCTACAGCCACCTCTCCACCACTGTCCTTCAGCCTCCTCTGCCTTGGCTTGGTGGTGTCTTCCTGCTCCCTCCCCAAGCAGGAGCAGCAGGCTGGGCCCGGAAAGCAGCCGCTATGCGTGCCTCATCCTCCCCTGGCTAGCCGGCTGGCAGGTGGGAAAAGGGAAGGGGCAGCAACAGCAGCTGCGGCAAGTCCTCTGGGCAGCCCAGAGAGTGGGGGGGGGCTTGGGCTGCCTAGGAAGTCGGGGGGGGTCACAGGAAGTCGGGGGGCCAGGCCCCAGGAGGCCCCGCCATATGGGCCTGAATCCAGATGACCCAAATCAGTTCCCGCTGGAGAAAATGGCTGCTTGGGAGGGTGGGCTCTATGGCATCATATCATGCTGAGGTCCCTCCCCTCCCCAAACCCCTCCCTCCCCAGGCTCCACCCCTAAACTCTCCAGGTGTTTCCCAACCCAAAGCTGGCAACCTTTCCAAAGCCAAAAGGCCCATACGGGCGCAAGGGAGCTAGCCTCTCGGGTGGTGAAGTCAAGTGGTCGTCACCAGAGAAAAGAGTAGGAGAGCCTTCGCTCGCACAACAGCGGCACCAGTCCAGACTTCTTATTTAAACGGCTGCTATGACTTCTTCTTTACTGAAATATTTACATCTCCCACCATTGAATCCCCAAGGCTGCTAATGCAAGTTCAGACAAACCACAATGCAAGTTGAATGGAATATCAAAACCCCCCAGCAGATATACATCCCTAGAAAGGCAGCAGAAGCCGGATAAAAACACCAGCAGAACAGTAGCCATGTGACTGCAAATTAAGAAAATGCTAGAAAACTCCAGAAGTATTTCAAAGGAGTTCTGTCTTGGCCTCAAGTCTGCCAGTTGGGGAATTGCTTGAGATTTTGTGGGTGGGGTCTGAGGAGGGCATGATATGGGGAGGGGAGGGACATGAGTGGGGTGTAATGCCTTAGAGTCCGCCCTTCAAAGCAGTCCGTTTCTCCAGGGGAACTGATGTTGTCTGGAGATCAGTTATAATGCTGGAAGATCTCCAGGCCCCACCAGGAGGCTGGCAACCCTGTCCACCCAGTACTTTTAAAACTCACACACTTGTGTACCAGTGAGTTCAGAATGGCATATATGGTTCTCCCTTCCTCATGTTATCTTCACAACAGCCTTGTGAGGTAGGCCAGACCAGTCCAAGATCACTCTTCAAGAGGGTTGCCAGTTTCCAGGCAGGGTTTGGAGCAGGGCTCTTTTTGTAGAAAAAGCCCAGCAGGAACTCATTAGCATAATAGGCCACACCCAGCAGCAGGAACTCATTAGCATATTGGGCAACACCCCTGACAGCACAGCTCATTGGCATATTAGGCCACACCCCATGTTACCAGAAGTGTGGTCATCCAGCCACACCCACCTTTTGCTTCTTATGCTGTTTACCTTGTTTGTTGTCCAAACCCAGGGCTTTTTTGTAGCAGGAACTCCTTTGCATGTTAGGCCACACACCCCTAATGTAGCCAATCCTAATGAGTTCCTGCTGTTGGGTGTGGCCTATTATGCTAATGAGTTCCTGCTGGGCGTGGCCAACTCGGGAGCCAGCCGGAACTCCGTTCCTGTGCGTTCCTGCCCAAAAATAGCCCTGCTCCTATTGATGTAAGGGACTGTCATACCTGTTGGATGTCTGCCTATCCACAAATACCTATAGCCCAAACCATCTGCCTGATGACACAGGAGAAATGCCACCACACAAGTGAAACGTGATAGATGATGCACTCCAGATCCATACCAGGACTCACTTGGGTTGCCAGATCTGGAAATCAAAAGAATAAGATCCCAGTACATGGGCGAGATGTGGGAGTGCAGTCCTCAGGGTCAGAGGGCAAAGTCCAGAGGTCGTATGTCGATGGACCTGAGCGGGGGAAAATGGCTGCTTTGGAGGGTGGATTCTGTGCCATTTTTCCCTGCTGAGTTCCCTCCTCACTCCAAACTCCCCAGGCTCCACCCCCAAATCTCCAGGAATTTCCCAAGCAGAGTTGGCAACCCTTTTCAGCAGGCTTCATGGCAGATGAGGAATCTAAACCCCAGTCACCCCAGACCCTGACCTTAACCACGACACCACTCTCACTCTCAGCCTGCCACTTGAACACCGGCAGAAATGGGAGATAACAAGAACTAATATCCCGTTTACTCCAGAGGTACTGTTATTGAATATATTTCCGAAAGACTTTGATAAAGCAGATAGGTATTTGATCGTTCATATGTCGACAGCTGCAAGGATACTATATGCCAAATATTGGAAAATAATGGAAATACCAACGAAACAAGAGTACGTGAACAAACCATTTGAAACGGCGGAAAATGACAAACTGACACTTGAGATGAGAGCCGGCACAGAATGGACTTTTCAAAAAACTTGGAAGAGATTCTATGATTGGTATAATGTCAACGCAACTGATAGATAAATGTAGTAATTTGAGAACACAGAAAAGATAAGCTTAGTAAAATAGATAATGAATTTAGAAATTTAATAAGCAGAAGTAGTGATAAAAGTCTCTTGCTATATGTTATATGTTGTTGGGGGTAGTTGAGTGTTGTTTGTATGTGTGTTTGTAGTATAT